CGAGGCCTTCAAGCTGCTGTGTACGAGGAGAGGCTGAAGGAGCTTGGTTTAACCTCGGAGGAGTGGGTGACTTGTCCTGAGCCAGACCTTTTTAGCTGTGGATGGAGAAAGGAGCAGAGGAGATGGACACAATTTACAAGAAGGGAAATTCCATGGGATACAAGGAGGAAAACCTCCACAGGGTGCACAGATGACGGAGGACGGGCCTGGCGGAGTTGTGGTATCTCTCTCCCTGCAGATATTGAGGACTTGGCTGTACAGGCCCCTCAGCGACAGGATCCGACTCTAAAAGCAGCCCTGAAGCCTCTTTCAACCTGATTTATTCTGCAGTTAGTTCTTAAAACGGGCTCCAGGTACAGCAGTAACAGCACACGTCAGGCCGCTCACTCGCTGTCTGTTGGTGACACCGCTCCAGATGTAACTTCAGCTGCTGCTCTTCTCCAACTGCGCTTCCCTTGACGCTCGTCTCCGTTTCTGACAGCAAGATTTGTACACCTGAGTGTTTGTCTCTCCTTCCCTTCGCCTTCCCATCCAATTTCTGCAAAGAGAGAATATCCTCTCCACCTGTAAACTTTGCTGTGCTTTATTCTTACATATGTTAAAAAGAAAATGAGTGGCAGGACCTGCCAGCCCTGCTTTGTGTTTGCCTGCAGGAGGGAAAGCGTTTGATGGGCTTAGCTGGGGGTTCTCCTGTTTGTGACTGTCAAGTGTGCTTTATAAATAAGGCTATAAGCTTAGCCAGTGTTTCTTTAATTAGCTGCAGATAGTTATGGGATCGTGCTGGCACCCCTGGCTTTGGCCAGCGTCCACAGAGTGCAGGCAGCCGAAGACTTGGGCTGGGTGTTAATGCTGTTACTGGTGTTGGATGCTGGGGAAACTGGTGGGACGATGGCGTTCGTTCTGCTGAAGGCTTAAATTCTGCCCAAACAGGACCGGAGCTGTGCGAAAAGAGGGGTGAGGATGCTTTCTGTGGCTTGAGTTGCTGCTGGTTTTGGGAACTTTGAGAGCTCACTGCAGGTGCTGACCCCCTGTTCAAAGGGGGGGTCTTACCTTGACACTGCCATGAAAGGAGCAAATTACGGATGTAAGGTAATGAGTTGAGGAGCAGCGACCTGGCAAAACGCTGCTCTTGGGGAAGAGCTTGTTTCTACTTGGCATTTTCCAGCAGCAGATGTCATCTCGGATGGGGTTTGTTCACACTTTTCTCATGGGTTTGGTCCTCCAGCTCCAGATCTCTAGATGGTGTTCTGCCATGTACGTGAGAGAGCAGGAATAAAACTTGAGAGAGGAAAAAATTATTAAAAAACCAGAATTATGAAGGAGAATAATAGCATTGGGAGTCTGGGAAACAATAGAAAACCCCGCTGGGAGTACACTGAGAAGGTAAAAACAGCACAGACAAGAACTAAGTGGTGTGAGAGGAGCAGACACTGAGGAGGTAGCTTGAGAGTTTGAGATGTAACGAGGAAAACTGAAGGAGGGGGAAGAAATAGAAGAAAAAATGTGTATATTAAAATAATTAATGAAGATACTCCAGTGGAGAAGCTTTTCCTTGGTCGTTCTGAGATGATAGGTGTGTGTTTCCAGTTGTGTGACAAGGTTTAATGCTTTTCGCTGTCGGTTTTCTCCTGGACCTTTCAAAACAGGCAATCACACGAACGCTTAATTTGGATCCTTTAGTAACTCCCATCACCTTTACTCCTGCCACGGCCCTTCCCGATGTCAGTACCGCTCTGGAGGTTTTTGACGAGTACTGCCTGGTTTTCTCATACCTGGGTTTGGTGCACAGGACTTCCAGGTGATATATTTATTTTTTTCCTATAGCAGTAGTGTCGTGCCTGCTGATAAATGGGATTTCTCATCGGGTTTTGCACAGTGTAGCAAAGCAGAGGAGTTTCCTGTGGCTCTGTGTGATGTCTGTGAGAAGGTGTTTGCCATCGAGCTTCCTATATTCCCTTCAGGCTTTCATTTATGAACCACTTCACCAGTTAATTGTTGCTTTCAGGGCTGCACGGATGCCAAAACTGTAAAAATATAATAATAAAATAATATTTAAAAAATAATAATTAATGAAATAATAATAATAAAAAGAATTGAACCAAGTCAGCCAACTACCAAAGCTTTTCTAAAGCCGCTGTGTTTTGGAAAGCGGGCTGGTGGAAGAGAATAACTGCAAAATAATGATTTGCTAAGGAGCCTAATGAGCTCAGTGTTGCAGAGCAGCATTAATCCCGGGTTTAGCTCATGCCCCGATCGGGATTTCCTGCGAGCGGTGGCCGGGGCTGTGTGAAAAATGAGATGTGGAGGAGCTGGATGGGGCTCCCGAGCTGCCACGTGGGCCCCGGCCTTCAGTAACTGCAGAATAGAAGCTCATTTACTACAGCCTGGTTTACGTCCTGGTGAAGCGCTGCAGTAAACAGTTTAGGTTAGCGGGCAGTGACGGATGCTCTCGATCCGTGTAATTCTTTGGCTAAATCTCCTGACATGAAGCTGTATTCTAAAGAAAAGTGGTTTTTGGAGGCGCCGCGAGGAGGAACTCGGTGCATTTTTTGGGGTTTGGTGTGCTGCGAGTATTTTAGTACTCGATGTGACTAAGTGGATGTTTGTTTTGCCTTAATGTGTATTTGATGAGGTGACATCAGCTATAAATACTGGAAGCTCTGAAGCCTTTCTTTCTGTCTCTAAATCTTGGCTTTTGAGGAACATCGAACGTCGCTGCGGTCACAATTAATCTGCGTGGGTTTTAGCAATTAGCGTTGATGTGCAGCGTCCTGCCAAGTGGCGCTCGGCATCTGGAATCGGCCAGGGGCAAACGCAAGGTGATTCACTGCCTGCCCGTTAGTTGAAAACACCCGTTTTGTTGACAAAACCCCCTTGTGTTTGCTGTGATTTGCCGCGTAGGCGGCGAGGAGCGGAGCGGAGGAGTAGCAGCCTTAGCGTGGTTTGGATGTGATAAAGCTGTTACAGGACCGGTTTAATGTGGGAGGATTTACTTTCTTTGCCACTTTTTGTAGCAGCTGCTGGCTCTTTAAACTCTTGTCGTTTCCTTTTTATGCAGAAAGGTTTAAAACAAACTTAATTGTTATCTACAACAGTGTATATATATATATTTTATATATATATACACCTGTTAGCTGCTCTCACTATCACAAGGCTGACAAAATATGCCAAAATCCAAAGCGATTGAATTCTTCTGCTTGGCTAAGATGTAATAAAGCTGATCATATCAGATTATCCAAGCAAAACGCAGATGGAGGAGGGAAAAGGGTTTGTTGTAAAGAGAGAGCATCTCCAATAGCTCCCGTAGTCGCTGCTGCCGTGTTCGTAGCCCCCAGCCTTGGGCCTTCCTTGCGTCTCCGGGGCGTAGGAGCGCTCTGCTAATGATTGTTTTTCCCTTATTGTTTGCTTTGAGGCTTTTTTTGGGTTTTAAAGGAAGTGGGAAAAGTGAACAGCAGGAGATCCTGGCAGCGCAGCACAGAAAATGGGAATTTTTTTAAGGAATCGGATGTGCCCTGGGCTGGGATATTCGGGGTTCGGTCCTGGCTCCTTGGGAGCAAGTCCCCACTTGTCAAATATAAAAATAACCATCTTCCTTCAGCAGTTTTCCAGGTTACAGCACTGTACCGGCGTCCTCATTAGCATTTTTAATAAGGCTGTGCAAATTGATGTCTCGCCCTGGTTTGAAGTTGGGGGGTGCTACAGCAAGTGCCCCACGCTCT